GAGAAATAATTGGAGTTGACAAAATCAAGTCAATGACCAAAATAAATCTAAAATGTAAAGTCTTTATTTCAGAGAGTTGACAATTATTTGGTAAACATAGGAAGTATAGACTGCCAATAAAATGTCCTATTTTCCCAAATCATCCTGACTAATGCTTTAGGCCTTAAATTATGCACATAATTAGCTAGACACAGATTCTGAACAAATGTATATAATCAAGTTGTGATGGTTAATTTTATGTATCAACTTGACTGGGTTATGGGTTACCTGGAAAGCTAGTAAAATATTTTCTCTGGGTGCATCTGTGAAGATGTTTCTGGATTTTTAATTTATAGACTAAGATCAACTCTTCCCAATGTGGTCAGACACTATTCTAAACATTCAGAATTCTCAGATGGCAGATGGCTGATTGTGGTGTTTCTCAGTCTCCATAATTGCACAAACTGATTCTTATAATAATATACATTATGGGAATATTAATAATATATATTATTATTATTGGGCATGTTTCTCTGGAGAACCCCAATTTATTCAAGCCAATGTTCATGCTCTACATAGGGGAAAAGAACACAACATATTTCATAAATATTTTAGTATTAAGATTTTTATTTGAAATATTTCAAAGAATGAAAGATTTCATAAAAGAATAATTATGCTAAAAAGATCTAAAAGTTTATAAAACGTAAGACTTATTTATATTTAAAGACTGAATATATTAGGGTGGCTGTCTAATCTTTGTTAAATATAACTTTATGTAGAGTGTAAATTCCCTTGGCTTTATAAGCTAAGGGAAGCCTGTGTGTTTTTAAAACTTACTTAACTTTTAAGTTGAATATTGTCGATTACATGCCAGCAAAAGTATAATGAAAATGACAACATTGTATGGATTACTCTAAGAGGATAATAGTAGAAAAGAGCTGAAACTTGAGATAATAATAACATTTGCAGAGAAGAGAATGAGACATTTATATCATTATGTAAATGTATAACGAATAAAATAGTCTTTCCTTAATTAACATAAATTGCAGACTGAGTAAATTTCTAATTCAGTGTAAATGAGCTGGCTGTATAACTAGTTACTTGACATTCAGTCATTTTGCACATGTTTAATTCCATTTTGTTCTTGGTTAAGAAGAAATGCGAAATTTAATATTTTTAAACAAATCCTTTGGGAAACAATTGGCTCCTCAGAAATTACAATGAATCCAGGCACTGTGGTACACACCTCTAAGCTCAGCAACTCAGGAGGCTAAGACAGGAGAATCCAAACTTAGAATTTCTTCTTCATTACTAAAGAATATGTTCACTTGCAACGTACATAGCAAGACCCTGTCTCAAAACAAAAGGTAAAGAGGGTTGGGTATTCAGAACAGTGGTAATAGAGCACCCTGGATCCAATCACCAATACTGGGGGGAAAAAAAAAAAGATTTACAATGAAAAGGTAAATTAGACATAAAAGAATGCTAAATAAGAACCAGTTATTTTAGAGTTTAATTACCTAAAGAAAAGAGTTAGATCCTTCGGTTCATAAGCGTGATGATTGGGTGTGCACGCTCTTGTGTGAGATGTGCCTCCCTCTAAGTCTTGTTACAACATCTGACGTGAAAAAAAGAAAAAAAAAAAGGAAAGAAAAGAGTTAATGTCTTCTGAAACATATTTTTCATTACCATTTCTCTTGCCTAATCAAATTTCCACTTATTAAATGAATAAGTGGAACTCATTCTCCTTATCCTTAGCCCATGATTAATGGGAAAATTGTTTTCTATTTTATTATTCTTAGTGATTACCTTACTTATTACAGTATGCATTTATGATTTATCAAAATGTGATATTTTTGCTACTTTTACCTTATTCCCAGAACATGCTATAATTTCAGAAAGCTATAACAATTTTTATCTTCCATCTAATATACTCTTTTTTTGTAATTTCTTTCTTTATTTTAATTTGTTATATAAGACAGCAGAATGCATTTCAACTATACTCTTATTCTATATTTTTCTCCATACTTTAAAGACAAAAAGTCACTATTATCACTATTTGTGCAATAAATATTCATTTAGATATACCCAAGTGTTTTAATTTTGTTGCTTTTATATCTGTTAACATCTCCAATTGGGATTTTTTTTTCCTACCTAAAGAATATTCTTTATACTCTCTCCAGTGTATATGTGAAAGTGACTGATTCTCAGTGTTTTCTGAGAATCTCCTTATTTCTTCTTCATTACTAAAGAATATGTTCACTGTATATAGATTTCTACTTTAATCATGATTTTTTTCCCAGTGCCTCGAAGTTACCATACCATTGTCTTCTGGCTTCCATTGTTTCTGTTGAGAAGTTAGCTATTGGCTCTTAGAAAATTCTGTCACTAGCCACACAACAATGTGTTGGGTCAATGATGGACAATATATATGATGGTGGTCTCATTAGATTATAATGAAGCTGAAAAATTCCTATTACCTGGTGATGGTGTAGCTGTCATATCACTGGAGTGCAATGCATTACTCATGTGTTGGTGGTGATGCTGGTGGAAACAAACCTCCTGCATTGCCAGTCATGTAAAAGTATAACATATACAATTATGTACAGGGCAATATACTTGATAAAGGTATTACATGACTGTTACTGGTGTACATATTTACTATACTATATTTTTAAATCTTTATTTTAGAGTGTACTCCTTTTACATATCTTTTTTTTAAAAAACATTAACTTTAAAATAGCATCAGGCAGGTTTTTCAGGAGGTATTCCAGGATGTGGTATTGTTATCATAGAAGATGACAGTTTCATGAGTGCTATTGTCCCAGTGAGACAAACTGTGGAGATGGAACACAGAGACATTGATGAGCCTGATCCTGTATAGGATAGGCTAGGTACATTTGTGTCTTTGTTTTTAACCAAAAGTGTGAAAGTAAAAAATAAAAATAATTGAAAAATAGGAAAAAGCTTACAAAACAAGGATAAAAAGAAAAAAAAATATTGCCTAGCTTGGTGGCACATGCCTGTAATCCCAGCGATTTAGAAGGCTGAAGCAGGAGGATTGCAAGTTCAAGCCCAGCCTCAGGAATTTAGCAAGGCCCTAAGCAGCTAAGCAGGACCCTGTCTCAAAATAAAAAATTAAAAGGTCTGGGGATACAGTTCAGTGGTAGAGCACCCCTGGGTTAAATCCCCAGTACCAATGACCAAAAACACAAAGAAAACAATATTTTTCTATTCCACAAAATGTGTTTCTGTTTGAAATTAAATGTTATTACAAAAAAATTTAACATAATTAAAAAGTTTCTGAAGTGAAATTAGAGTAAGCTAAAGTTAATTTATTATTGAAGAAAGAAAATATTTTTAATGAATTTAGTGTAGCCTACTACAGTGTACCCTGTTTATAAAGTCTATAGCAGTGTACATTAATACCTTAAGTCTTGCCATTCACTCACCAATCACTGACTCATCCAGAGCAACTTCTAGTCCTGCAAGCTCCATTCTTTGCAAGTGCCCCATATAGAGATGTTCCACTTTTCATTTATACTTTACCTTTTTTAGATTTAGATATGTTTAGCTACAGAGTACTTACCATTGTGCTATCATTGCCTACGGTATTCAGTGTAATAACATGCTGTTCAGATTTGTGGCCTCAGGACAATAGGCTATACCATAGTCTAGGTGTGTAGAACACTACACCATTTATGTTTGTGTAAGTATACTCTGTGGTGTTTGTACAACGATGAAATTGCCTAAAGATGCACTTCTTAGAACACAGTCCTCTTATCAAGTGACACATAATTATATTGTGCCTTGAGAGTTATTAATCTTTTTTTTCCCACTAATGGCTCTTCTCCTCTTTCCCCCTTCCCACTGAATTTTAATATCTTCTACTTATATTTTCATAAATCTTCTGCAATGGGTGTGATTTCTTATGGTTTATCTTGTTTAGAATTTTTGGGGATTCTTGAATATTTAACATAAATTGCACCAATTTGGGGACAATTCTTTTCAGAAAAGCTGTTATCTCTTCAGACACTGCCTCTTATTTTCTCTCCTTTTCTTCTAGGATTTCAAATATATCTGTTATTTTTCCATAGGTTCAATCCCCAGTACCATCAAAAAAAGAATGATTCCTGGTTGTGCCTTAATAAAAATATAAAATGCCACCCATAAAAGAGATTAAAAAAAAACATGAGTCTGAATTTGATTAAGCCTATAACCAACCTACTAGTTTACAGACAATACAAGTAACACTATTCAGTTAACAATCTTGGCTTTTTTCTTTTTTTCTGAAAATACATATGTTTAATCCCAGAGAAGGATTCTGGCTTATCCTGGATCCCATTTCTACCATTTGGTCTAATTTCTTGGAACAGGGGTTGATAAACTATAGTAGATTATTGTCACTTATGCATCCCTACAAACAGTGATGGTGACTGACAAAATGATAAGCAGTTATGTCAGAATTTGTTGGAAAGTGGAGGAAATAAGGAAGAAAACACCAGATATATATCACAAACAATACAGTGGAAAGACAGGTCTTTTTATGTAATACTTTATTATATGCTGAAAACAGCAATTATTCAGTGAATTATCTAGGATAGTTGCTTAGCAGTTTGATTTTTTTAAGCTTCTAGCCAAAAAATCAGAATGAACTTTAAGGATCAGAGTTAATGGTGGAAATAATTAAGTCATAATAATCTAAAAGGAAAAATATATGAATCACTTTTGATCTCTCACTAGAAAAATCAAAGAAAATACTACAAAATAGTAAATTTGTTCTTCTTTCTTCTCAAGCAATTACATAATTCTAAATATGTATTTTTATGTGTATATGAAAAATGTATAAATATATGTTTCAATATATATTTAAAGTATGTGTATAAAATATGTAATTGAGCTGATAACATATAAAAATATATTTGCCAATATCCCTTATGAGTATATAGAAAAAAAAATCCTCGATAAAATACTAGAAACTGAATCCAACAGCATATAAAGCGGATTTTAAACCATGACTAAGTGAGATTTTATTTTTCATGAATTTGGTTGTTATCCTTGCACAGAGGCCATGATAATCTTCTCTATATCATTCAAATTTTCCTTGTATGTTTGCTGATGAAGCAAGCACCCAAGTGTAATTTATCCCAGGAATGCAAGTTTGTTCCAACATATGAAAATTAACCAATGTAACAAAATACATGATTAGAGTAGCAGGAAAACGCATGATCATCTCATCACAGAAAAATCATTTAACAATTTAGCATCATTTTATGATAAAAAAAAACAAACTATGATTAGAAAGGAACTTTTTCACCTTCACAAAAGGAATTGATGAAAACTTCTCAGCTAACACCACATTTAGTGGTAAAAGGCTACATGCTTTCCCCATAAGACCAGTAAAAAGCCAGGCATATTCATTCTAGTTACTTTCATTTAACATTGTACTGGAGGTTCGAATCAGGGAAGACTGGAAAAGAATTAAAATTATCTTTAGTCTCTAAAACAAGATATTGTGTATAATACCTAAAGAATTCACCAAAAAAAAATTAGATCTAATAAATAAGTTCAGCAAGTTTGCCAGATATAAGATCAATATACAAAAATCAATTGTATTTTCTACTCTTGCAATAAATAATCCAAGTATGAAACTAAGAAAACTATTTCATTTATAGTAACATCAAAAATAATGAAGTACTTAGGAATGAATTTAATAAGAGAGAAAAGTAAACTGAAAACTATAAAATGTTGTTGAAAGAAATTTAAAGAAACAAAAATATGACTCATGTTCATGGATCAGGAGACAATATTGTCAAGATGGCAGTAATCTACAAATTGATCTAGGAATTTAATGCAATTACTCTCAGGATCTAGCCTGGCTTCTCTGTCTATCCTAAAATTTACATGGAAACTTAAGATACCTAGACTAGCAAAAACAATCTTGAAAAGGAACAAAATTGGAGGATTCGCTTTCCAGTTTCAAAACTTATTACAGAGCAACAGTACTCAAGGCAGTATAGAGCTAACATAAGGATAGACATATAGACCACTGGAGTTGAAACAAAAAAACTATCCTAAACCCTAACTTTTACATTAGTTAATTTCCCACAAGAATGCCCAAACAATTCAATGATGGAAAGAAGAATTTTTCAACAAATTATGCTCAGATAACCCTATAGCTACAGGCTAAGAATGATACCTCATACCACATACAAAAATTAACTCAAGGGGAAAGGGGAGGAAGGGTAAAAGTACTGGGGAATGATATTGGTCAAATTATATTGTTATATCATGTGCATATAGGAATAGGTAACAATCAATCCCACCATTATGTACAACTATAGTGCACCAATAAAAAAGGTGAGAAAGGGGGCTGGGGTTGCAGCTCAGTGGTAGAGTGCTTGCCTTGCACATGTGAGGCACTGGGTTTAAACCTCAGCACCACATAAAAATAAAATAAAGATACTGAATCCATCTACAACTAAAAAATAAATAAATAAGAAGTGTAAAAAACAAAATTTAAAGATTAACTTGAAATGGATCAAATACCAAAATGTAAGAGCCAAAATTATAAAATGTGATAGCTACAATTCCCCTAATCTTAGGAGAAAAGATAAGAGTAAATGTTCATGAACTTTGACTCAGCAGTTCTCTGAGTTATGGTACTAGACACATTAAGGATGACAAAAATAGATAAATAGGACTTCAACAAAATTACAAACATTTGTGTGTCAAGGGATACTGTAAGAAAAGTGAAAAGACACCTAACAGAATGGGAGAGAGTATTAGCAATTAATACATTGGACGGGGACTTTTATCTAGAATAGAAAAAGTTCTCCTTATAACTGAATAATAGAAAGACAAATGGCTCAATTAAAAATGTGCAAATTATGTTATTAGTTATTTCTCCAAAGATTTTATACAACAAATATTTGAAAGGGTGTTCAATATCATTAGTTATCAGTGAAAAGTAAATAAAAACCACAATGACATACCACTTTACACCCATTAGAATGACTAGTACCAAAAAGACAGACAACTACAAATATTAGTTAGGATGTGGAGAAATCACTCTCATATAATGCTGGTGAGAATGTAATGCTGCAGTTACTTTGGAAAACAGTCTAATAGTTGCTCAGAACTAACATGAAGCAATTCCACTCTTAGGTATATATTCGAGAGAAATTAAAACATATCCACACAAAAACTTGTACATTTTTCATAAAAACCAAAATATAGAAACAACTCAATGTCCATCAACTAATGAATGAAGAAACAAAATGTTCTATATAGGGGCTGGGGATGTGGCTCAAGCGGTAGCGCGCTCACCTGGCATGCATGCGGCCCAGGTTCGATCCTCAGCAACACATACAAAGAAAGATGTTATGTCTGCCAAAAACTAAAAAATAAATATTAAAATTCTCTAAAAAAATGTGCTATATCTATACAATGAAATATTATTTGGCCATAATACAGAATACTGATGCATGCTATACCATGGGTAAACTTCATGAACATTATGTTAAGTAAAGATACCAGTCATGATAGATCGTATATCACATGATTCCATTCTTTTTTTTGGGTGGGGGGGGTGCTGGAGATTGAATCCAGGGCCTTGTGCAGGCAAGGCGGGCACCCTGCCAACTTATCTATAGCCTCAGCCCCCCATGATTCCATTTTTATAGCGGCAGAAAGTAGATTAATGGTTGCCTAGAGTGGGAGTATGGGATGACAAGATCAAGAGTGATAGCTAAAGGACACAGAATTTATTTTTAGTGTAAGACTTCTATAATTGATTGCAGTGATGTCTGTACATATCTATAATAGATAAATTGCAGGTGAGTATATCTATTTAAAATATATATTTTTTTTATTTTGTTAATTAATTTATTTTTTGTATGTGGTGCTGAGGATCAAACCCAGTGCCTTAAGTGTGCTAGTCAAGCGCTCTACCACTGAGCCACAATTCCAGCTCTGAGTATATCTTAATAAAGTTGTTGTCAAAAATATTTAGATGTTGAAATGTAGGCTTTTTTCATACTGACATACCACTGTTAGATCAATAACTTCTGTGGGGAAAGTGATAATGATAAATGTAGTTATATCCTGAAAATCTAAATAAAGCAAAATCTGGCAGGGATTGAGGAGGCAAAAGAATCTGTTCTTACTTGGGATTACACCTAAGGAAAGGAAATACATGTAAAAGTGAGCTTTAACTTATTGCCTGTACACTTAGTGATAGAAAATGACTTGATAATTTTTGCTACTTATTTAGTTTAGCTGAATGCATCAAAAGAGCCTAATCCAGTAAAATAATATATTCCCAGAGGTTTGGAAACATTATATGCCTCTAATGGCTACTTCAGAACCACTTTTTATAGGTATGAACACTGAGAGACATTTGTTCCAAGGCAGATACAATGCTAGAATAAGATGTTGAAACTTAAGTTTTCAATATTATGACTTGCTGTGGGTAGGTCAAATTGTAAGCCTTGTGTTTTTTGCTTTGAATGTAATATAAAAATGGACGTGAATGCTTCTTTGAAAATAACACATGGCGTAACTTTGATTCATTGGTATATATTATAAAATAAATATGGAACTTCAGGCTTTCTTTTCATGATATATGATCCCAGTCTGATTTTTTATATCTAGTTATGTGGTGTAGGTTTGACATTTAAAATAAAATTGCAAAATGAAAACCCATTCATGTTCCATTTGGAAAGCATAAGTATATATAAAAGAAAATATATAACTTGTTTTAGGAGTCAGAACAAAAGATCAGACTCAGCAGAGTACAGTCTATAATCAGGACACCCTGATCCACCAGAAATACTTTTCCTTTGAGGGATCTCTGCACCAGCTTCTTTTTAAAGGTCTTAGTTTATCATGTGAACATACCACTTCAATCACCATTTATGTGCAAAAATTGCTTGATGCTTCATACTGAGTATATCAGGAAGAGTTTTCTTATTAGAAGCAAATTTGAATATCTTTTGGCTTATGAAGACCAGGAATTATTCTCATTGAGAACACTAGTGTGCTACATGATTAAACACAAAATATTATCAGAAAGTATACAAAACAATAGTGTCTAGGGATTTCAGTGCTTTCTCCCCCAGAGGAAAATCTATATCCTGGCAACCTGCCTCTATTTTCTCAAATAAAGTTCCCACTTAAATGTCTTTTGACATATTTCATCTGGAATATTTTCATGAAGACTGTATGGGAGACAAAGAAGCACCTAAAAACAGACTTAACAGCAGGGCTAAGGATATTGTGAAATCGGTATTATTTTCACTCTTACTTTCTGATTCCCTTTCCCTCCTTCTGTTGCCTTTCCCTCCTTTACCTTGAGTTCATTTCATATTCCATGCAGCCATTCTTTTGAAAGAGAATCTCTGATAAATGAATTTACATCAATATGCAAATAACTGGAAGTTGTTCCTTTAATAATTTTTGTATTTTTTTTAAAAAGCTGCCTCTCAGGCTGGGGATGTGGCTCAAGCGGTAGCCTGGCATGCCAGGGCACTGGGTTCGATCCTCAGCACCACATAAAAATAAAATAAAGATGTTGTGTCCACCAAAAACTAAAAAATAAATATTAAAAAAAGTCTCTCTCTCTCTCTCAAAAAAAAAAAAAAAAAAAAAAAAAGCTGCCTCTCCCTCTCCCTGAGGGTGGGGGGACAACAACAACAACAACAACAACAATATATATATATGACTTCTTGATGTCTGTACATATCTACATATCTATAATTGATAAATTGCATGTGAGTTTTATATATATATATATATATATATATATTTATATATGTATAAACTTCAGGTTTACATGGGGAATATATTTTGGACAAAATCTTTGCACTTATATTCTTCATAAGAAGTCAGTTATTTAGCCTCCCAGCATAGTAAAAGAATCGCCTTAAGTAATAGGTCTACCTTCATTAAGTACTTATTGTTGATGCAACTGTTAAGTGCTTAAAAGAGAAAATATTGTCAGTCTAGAAATAACTATAGCATGGGGTTGAAAGTAGGAAGAAAACAGTAATCACAGTATACTGGCTAACTTTTTCCATCTAGCAAACAAGAATAGGTGGAAACTGCAGGGTGCCGTCACACACACCTA